TTTTAGGGCCCGAGGCCGATATATCGGCCTTCGCTGCACTGGCGAAAAGTGCCAGAGCCGATATATGTGCCCATAATTATGAATGTGGTCTAAGTCATATATTTTTTGTTTTTACGAAATTACATTGAATTAATTTCGTTTGAAATAATATGGCGTGAAATAAGTGATAAACTAATTTTTTTTTTTTTTAATTTTGACTTAGACTACTTTCATAATTATGGGCACATGTCGGGCCGCACCTCGTAGCGCTTTACTATTCGCTTTGCGAGAGATCTCTATCTCAAAATAAATTTATAATACGTTATAAATAGTCTAATTTCATTACGAGAGAATTAAAATAACGATACAACAACACCTATAACAACCTATAACCTATAACAATTACTTGTTTCGGATGAGATAATCCGTCCGGCGCCTACCATGTGCCTTGGAGTTATTTTTTATGTTTCTTGTGCAATATTACTTATTTTGTTAAAAAATATATTGGAAATTTAAAGTATATACTTTGCAATAAGCGGTCTATATAAATTGATGATAAAAAGATGACTTTTCCTATGTGCAATTACGTTTTGAAACGGAGAACTCAATTTTTCTTTTTTTTTTTTTATCACTTATACCTTTGTTATTTATGTAATTTTCAATGCGTATAGAAAAATTAGCGTCACTGTTTTATTCTCTATTTTGTCCTTAATACCCTGCTTTTTGAATTATGTAAATATTGCTTTTCGTTTGGTTTTTATGAGCCTTTTTCCAAATCCTAGTAAAATCGTAAAATTCGGCCGGTTATCTTCGCGTAAGCACCTCTTTTTCGCCCGGCACTAAAAGGGTTAAGGGTATTAGACCAAACTGTCCGAAACTTTGACACGTCACTCCTGATCATCTAAGAATTGTTCCGACACTTTGAAAATTTGGATTAAAAAAAAGATTTTTTTAACTTAGCCCAGGTCAGTCCTAAAATGCCGTCGAGCTCTCGTATTTCGATCGATATACAATTATCGAAGGCTCTGATATGAGAAACGAAATGGTCAGGACAATTTTACGACAATTTGGAACATTCTGGTAATCGATAAACTGGAATTTGAACGGGATAAAGGCAAAAAAAAGTGTTGTTTGCGCTTCTATGCCGAAACGATGGGAATACGAGGTCTCGGAGTGAAAATTTAATTGACCTGGAAATCACAGATGGCGCAGGGGGTCCCTCTGCAGTAAATTAGGGCCCCAGAAAGCACGAATCCAGAGGATTTCTGGAGTTTTACTCCGATTTCTTGACAATTATTGTACGAAAACGACAGGTGGAGTATGCCATTTGGTACAATACCCAATATAATTCGACCCAGCTGTCAATATAAAAATGAACGTCGGCAACGTGGGCATTTATAAAAATCTTCTTTATCGACGTCGATCAAGTTCCTCGACGTGTTTGACTTCACCTTAAGCTCTCGTCGCCCGGGGCCCGATTTTCGGAAACGGGGACTTACGTCGGCTGATATACGGCGCATTCCTCCGACGAAAGCCTGACAAATCGTTCTCTCCTCGGCTTCCTTCTTCGTTTTTCGTCTCTTTTCCCTACCGTATACACACGAATGCCCCCCCCGATTATTATTCCGAGGAGACTGGAAACGCGAGGGCATTATTTCGGGCCCCACGGCCTCGTCTCGGCGAACAGGTGCTTACTGGGCCCGGTGAAATGGCAGTCCGACATTCCTCTTGAAACTGCACACTCTGTATATACTTGCATATCTATATACATGTATATATATATTCAAACGAGATCGCTGGAGAGAACGGGCCCGTTTTCCTTTTTCCGGGGCCATTTCCTCGGGAGAAGTCGACTCCACCCCGACGAAGAGTAACGTTTCCCGATCTTTTTCCTCGTCGACGTCCTCGGCCAGGTCGAACTTCCCGTCTCCGAGGAAATGGATTCCCTGGGCCCGATAAGGCCCACGCCTTATCGGGCCCAGGGAAGTCCAGGGTGGCCTGGATCTGCGCTCTATTAGACTCGTTTCCCGGGCAGTTTCTCCCGCCACCCTCCGAGTTTGACTTTCCTCCCCGTGGAAACCGATCACCTCGCGATCTGGCATTCCCTTCGAAAGAAGATAGGACGATAAACGACCGGATGAATAGAAGATGAGGAGGAATCGAGAGCGGAGCGCAGATGGGCATCGCTCCTCGAAATGCAAAGGGGAGGACGAACCCTCTCGTCCTAGAGGAACCTCGATACCGATTGATCGTCTTCTTCTTATTTTTCGTCGAAAAGAAATTTCGAAAAAAATCAAGAAAAAGATAAGGAAATCAGGAAAATAATTCTCGAAAATCCGGAGGATAAACGACCGGATGAATAGAAGATGAGGAGGAATCGAGAGCGAAGTGCTGATGAGCAAAGGGGAGGACGAACCCTCTCGTCCTAGAGGAACCTCGATACCGATTGATCGTCTTCTTCTTATTTTCCGTGGAAAGAAATTTTGTAGAAAAAATTAAAGAAAAGGATAAGGAAATCAGGAAAATAATTCTCGAAAATCCGGGGGCCAAGTCGGGCGCGGTTGCCCTCATTAGCGTAAACGGAAGTGGCTTTTCAGGGCAGGAAGTCGACGCGCGAGGACGTCCCGGGACGGCCGTTTTAACGACGCTCAGAGGCGTCGTTTAAATTGAGAGGAGCTTGATGTGACGTAAAACTTGATTTAAACGATCCTCCCCGGGATTCTTGGGACTCGCCCCCCCTGTACCCTCGATTTTACCTTGGGATTAATCGTTCCTAACCTCTCCCGGCAGGTAAACTCCGCATCCCAGGTCTCTTTTTAAATGTAAGGTGGAAAGAAACCCCCCTGAAATCAGTCGACTTTTTTTAAGGGTATTGGACTAAACTGTCCGAAACGTTGACATGTGACTCGTGATCATCGAAGAGTTGTCCTGACACGTTCAAAAGTTTATTTAAATTTTACCCTGGGATGTGACTCGTGATCATCAAAGAGTTGTCCTGACACGTTCAAAAGTATATTTAAATTTTACCCTGGGATTAATCGTTCCTAACCTCTCCCGACAGGTAAACTCTGCATCCCAGGTCTCTTTTTTAATTTAAGGCGGAAAGAAACCCCCCTTAAATCAGTCGATTCGGATAAAACACTTTTTTTTACGGGTGTTAGACCAAACTCTCCGAAACTTTGACACGTGACTCGTTATTATCAAAGAATTGTCCTGACACATTCGAAGTTTGGAATTTGAACGGGATAAAGGCAAGAAAAAGTGTTGTATACGCTTCTATGCCAAAACGATGGTAATACGAGGTCTCGGAGTGAAGATTTAGTTGACATGTAAATCACAGATGGCGCAGGGGGTCCCTCTGCAGTCAATTAGGGCCTCGGAAAGCATGAATCCAGAGTATTTCTGGAGTTTTACTCCGATTTCTTAATAATTATTGTACGAAAACGACAGTTGGAGTATGCCATTTGGTACAATACCCAATACAATTCGACCCAGCTGTCGCTAAAAAAACCAAACTCTGCAACGTAGGTATTTAGCTAATATATCAATAACAATATTTAGATCTTCTTTACCAACGTCGATCAAGTTGCTCGACGTGTTTCACATCACCTTAACACCCCGGAGAAACGTCGCGGATATGCCATTTAGTACAATACCCAATACAATTCGACCCAGCTGTCGCTAAAAAAACCAAAGTCTGCAACGTAGGTATATATCTAATATATTAATAACAATATTTAGATCTTCTTTACCAACGTCGATCAAGTTCCTCGACGTGTTTCACATCACCTTAACACCCCGGAGAAACGTCGCGGATTCCGCAGTTCCCGGGAACTACGGGGAAGGGTTAAGGTCAGCTTCTCGGAAGGGGGTAAATCGCGGACCCCGTCAATGGAGGACGCGGATGCTGAATGGGGCCCGAAGTTTCCGGGATATGGTTCGCGCGATGGGGCCCCGGGAAATGGTTAAGGCCCGATTCGCGCCGCTTTTATTCCCCCTCGTTTCCGGGCCCGTGGCGGTGGTCTGCGGAGAGCACGCGGAAAGGGGAACGGGCCCCGGGAGTTCTTGCCGGGCCCTCGGCTGGCCGGTTTCCCGCTAATCGGGCCCCAGGATTTCTAACGACGCGGAATGGGCCCGCTCTCGCTCTACGAGGTAATGGCCGTCGGGGCGGACGCATTAGTGCTCCCCAGAGGATCGCTCGTCTCCCAGGAAAATGCGAAAACGTTGAAAAGTGGACTCAGGGCCCAAAATCTGGGACTCACGAGAACGCAGCGACGAATGACCACGGTCCCGACCTTATGATACTGTTTTTTGTCCCGCAAAAATGGCCGGTCCGGGTTTTGCTCCCGATCAGGAACTTCTTCCATCATCCCCAGGAGCCCTCGAGGGTTCCCGGTAACGCGACGTAGGGCGTCGGTTCCAGGCGAGGGGGAGGCGTTTAAGTTAAGAGGCAGCAGCCCTTGGAGGGATAACCTCGATCCAGGGCTCAGGGGTGCGAATGGGATCACGTAAAAAAGGGATTTCCACCCTCGCCGGAGACCGCGCGAGAGCGTTGCGCGCCGTCGGCGAGATTCCCCGCTTCATTCCGTACCCGTCGGGGATCGACTCGGTGAACGGTCCCTGGGGAGCCCACGGGACCCGGGAACGATCTTATGATCGACCAAGAGTACCCTGGAAGGGGCCCTGGGGACCGTTTCCGAAAATCCCTGCTGAGATTTCGGGGAATGCGAGGAGATACTCTAGGACGTCCCCGGAAACGACGTCAGGGAGCTAATCGTCGCGACGGTCCCAATTTCCGGGCCTAGAGGAGTCCGTCGAGTGCCAAACTATGCGTCTGGAATTCCCCCAGGAGGGGGTCTTGAATTTAAATTCCAGGAGGAACGATTCGGGTCCCCGTTTGGACCCTTTGAAGGCGAAGCTCTTTCGACATAAGGGCGAGAATCCTGAAAGCGGGCAGGCGATATTGGACCAAACGTCGGACGCCTATAGGCGCTTCCACGGGCCAAAGGGTTAATTCGCACCTTTCTTCTCGTCGTCCTCGTCGACGTGGTCGGCGGCGTGGTGCAGAAGGTGGGCCCCAGGGTGGACGGCCGCGATGTCCGGAGCAAGAGGGCGGCTGCCCAGGGCCGGGTGGGGGTGGTGGGGGTGGTGGTGGCTGAAGAACCTGACGGCGGCCGCGGCCGCCTGGTGGTGGGCCTGCACCTGACTCTGGACCTGGCCCAGGACGGGGTGATGGGGCGGCCACCCCAGGTGGAACGGGAAGACGGGCGCGGCCCTTGGGAACAGCCGACCCGGGGACAGGAGCGAGGCCCCGGAGGAGGCCCCGGTGGTCCCGCCGGCCGGCGGCGCCGGGAACGACAGGCCGCCTCCCGGCTCCAGGACCATCCTGGAGCTGGGCCCCAACTTGGCTGGGCCTCTCCCCGGCTCTCTACTGCAGATCGCGCTCAGACCCCGGCGGGGGCATCCAGGCCGCTCCCGTTGGCGCCCCCGGGCCCGCCCCGCATCGGCCCGGGCTCGTTTTGGGCCAGTCCCCCGGGACTCGGCGGTCGCGCGCGGGGCCTACTCCAGCAGGACCCCGGGATGACTCGAGGACTCCCGATGCTTCCTTCCCGCTCGACCCGATGCGCTCCTCCTTTTCCCTGGACGTCGCGCCTGGATCTTCCTGGTCCCAGGACCTTGAACCCAGGACCCCCGAGGGAGAGGCCCACTTCTGGGCCCGAATCAAGGGCCTCCACCAGCGAGTTCCCGGACGAGCGGTTTGCCGTCGGATCGCGGAATTCCGCGCTCTTCGAGGGAAAGGAGACCGTCGATCGAGTCCCAATTTCCAACGACCTGCTCACCGTCTCTCAGATTCGAGTCCCAAAGTCTTCTGGGACTACTGGGCCCGACCTAGATCCTTCCTCACTTCGTTCCTTAGCATGTTCATTTGAGTCCTAGACCATGGACGGAGCTTAGAACTCGGGAGGCCCTCCGAACACTATCGAGGAGCTATCCGCACTCCGCGGCACCGGATCACTGACTGGGACTCACGGATGGGCCCGGTCCTCCAAAACTTGGGACCGACCCCCGATCGGTCGCGGGTCCAGCTCGCGTTCCACTGTCGACGGTCCGACCGGACCGACGAACGAGACGTCCCAAACTGTCCGAGGTCCTCGAGGGCCTCAAGGCCCAAACACGGTACTCCAGTCGAGATTTCGACCAACGATTCCGCCCTCTCCTATCGACGAGGTAGTCCAGCACTTGGGTGCGGGCCCGAGCCTCGAATCGGGGCCTTCGGGCCCAAATCTCCAGGGACTCTCAGCCTCTCCCGGCCACGGGCACGATCACTCGCGAGCGGGGTCACCGTCGAGGGCCTAGAATCGACGTGGGGCCCTCTCCCGGTTTGGGCCCGAGGGTCCGAGTCCCGGGTCGGGGTCAAGGTGTGATCGGACCGAGAGGTCCTCCAGAGGGAGCCAGCAGGGTCGGACCACGGGCACGAGCCAACGGCGCAGCACTATCTGCCGCGGTCCTCGGACCAGGGTCTCCCCCTCTGCCGGCGCGCTTCGGAACCGGAACCCCGACCCACACCCGGCCCCTCTTCATTGGCGAGCGGCGCGCGCCTCCCGGGGGCCGCCGTATCGCCGGCCAATCGTGGCCCCGGGATTAGGAGAGCGGATCCCCGCCCCTGGCGCCGCGGGCTGCCCCCACCCCCCGGCGGCGTCGCTACGCCCCTGCGCCGACAGGTGGGGAGAATCAATTCCCCGCTGCCCCGAGACCGGCCGCAAGATGGCTCCGTCGGTGCACCCCGGGCGAGGGTGAGCTCCGAGGGGGTGCGCTCGACCTATCGGAGGATCCTCCAGGACGGGATCCAGGACCCGGAGGTCCATCGAGGAGGGCTCGAAAAACCACCCCCGGGGTTTCGAGCCTCCGAACTCGAGCCCTTCCCCCCACGTCCCGTGGCAGCTCCTCGGGGGGCGATCCTCTTTTAATAAAGGGACCGCGGGAGGGGAGGGCGCGTTAAGTAATTACGTCCATTCTCTTCCGGGCAGGAAATTACCAGGGCGGGGGAAGGCAGGAAATTATAGAATTAGCCCTCTGCTCTTCCCGGGGTTTGTTTCTTGTTTCTCCTTCTTTTCCCTTCCATTCCCGTCTCGGCGATTGCGCCTCACCTTGTTCCCGGTCGGGCGGAGGGGTCTCTTGGTCATTAAGGTCTAAGAAGGAGCTTCGTTTCCGGGGAGGGAGGGATGTCTCGTTAGCGCCGTCGACCGCGGCGAATCGGCGGAAAGCGGAGGACAAAGGAGGACAGGACGAATCCATTCCCGGCGGGGGAGAACAAAAAAGAAGGAGAAAAAGAAAACGAAAGAAACATACAGGACTCCGATTTTTCGATTTTCCGGAAACTGCGAGTCGTCCCTTGGGGAGCACCCCTCGGAGAAGGGGAGAGTGCCGATGGAGACCGCCCCCTCCAGGAGTCTTATTTAAAGGTGGACCCCCCGCGAACAGGGCGCCACGAGCCCCATATCGAGTCTCCGGCTTGCCTCCGTCCAAGATCGCCTTTCTTCCGGTCCTCCGAGGAGGGAAAAGGAAAAAAGACCCACCGGAAGTCCGCCAGGGTGACCCGGTAATCGCGAGATTTTAATCGGAGGGAGATCCATTCGGCACGTCCTCGGCGCGGCCATCGAATACAATCATCGAGGAGGGCCAAGGCGAGCGAGAGGGAGTGAGAGGGAGCGATGAGGGGGCAAGGGGTGGGAGAGAGAGGAAACGAGGCCCTCCACCCTCGCGCTCTCCCGCGCCCCCGCCCCGCGAATTGAATCCTCCCCCACCCCGAGGAGAGGGAAGCGGTCTCCCTGGCAACGCGAGAAAGCGTCCTCCGCCTCGCGGTTGCCAGGGGCAACCCGCGGCCCGGTCGCCCCTCGCTTGCGGGGGCAGTCGCCCCCGCCCGCCGGGGGTTGCCGCGCGCGGCGGGACTCGTAACGCGTTAACTGCCCGAGGTGAAGAGACCCCGGTTAATTACTAAAGCGTTTTAATCGTCGCCCGAAGTTGCGTCCCGGCGGAGTCGCGCCGGGGGTGGATTCGCCCCCGCGCAGGGGAAGGGACCCCCCGCGGAGCCTTCCCTCCGCGCGGGATTTAAGGCCTGCCCCTCTCCCCCGGAGAATGGAAAATCGAAGGCGAAGTTCTGGCCTCCGGAAAGAGAAACAAAACAAAAAACAACAAATACAAAAAGAAGAAGAAATTCCAAAAATTAACGAGACGGCTCCTCTTCCCGGGGGGCTGCGACGAAGGTGTCGGCGATTACCTCCTCCCCCCACCCTGGGGGGGAAACATCGAGTTAATTACCAAAGCGTTTTAATCGTCCCCCGAACTCCCCGACACTGTCTCGCCACGGGGGTGGAACGTGAGGGGGGTGCAACCCCCCCACAAATTACGGTACTTGTACTGGCATAACTCCCCGAAGACCACCCCCTCCCTTCCCCCGAAGGGTGGAAATCGAGATCGACTCTCGAGGCCTGCGAATTTGAGGGACCGCGAGATTTCGAAAAAAGAACCCTCTCGATTTTCCCGGAAAATGGGGATACTCTCTCGTTGAAAAGGAGGACGTGGGGGAGGATCCAAGAGGGAATCGACGAGACGGGGGGCGACGACATTGTCGCTTCGGGTCCTGATTCGACTCCAGCTGATGACGTCATGTCCGGTCTTTACGAGCAAAGAGAGCAAGACCCGTGGGGACAAATGTCCCGGGAAAGTAACGAGATCGCGGGGGGGGGGGGGATTCTTCCCAGACCTTATCCTACGAGATTTCGGGGCCATTCGTCCCCCGACATCCCAACAGCCTCCCCGACCGGTCGCGAAGACTTCATTCCGATATTTCTTGTGGGGCAGGGGGAGGGCATGGGGGGGGGGCGCTTTCGATTTTACTCCGACCAAGAGTCTCGCAGCAAATTAAGTGCGACGCGAGTTAACGAAGGTGCCTCGCCGCCGGGAGGGGTCGCTAAATCGCGTAAACATCGAGTTAATTACTTCGGAGACTTTATCGTCTTGCCGCTACTTCGTCCCCCCCTCCCCCGCGGGGGGGGGGATGGGATGGAATGGGGCCCGAGGTGGAGGAAGAAAGCAAGGAGGGAGGCGGGGGTGGGGTGGGGCAGAGCAGGCAGGCAAAGCAAGAGATGCTTTCTCTTCCACGCCGTCGGAGTAATTGCCTTCCCCCGCGCCCCCAAGAGAGAGGGGTTGCCCCCCTCAGTATTTTTTTCACTGCTGGGGGGAGGGGGGAGGGTGGGAATTAATTGTCCTTCTTTCCACGGGCACGTGAAACCCCCCCCCGAGTGGAGGTACCGCGAGGGAAAGAGGGACCGGGGGGGTTGAGCTTCCCCCACTTCCGCCCCCGGATCCGGAAGCGGGAATTCGGAATCGAGGCCGCGCATTTGCCACCTCCCCCCCACCTCCGGGAATCCTCCCCCGGGCTTTGCAAGTCAAATCGTCTCCATAAACAAGGAGGGAGAGGGGTATATCGAGGGGCCCCCCGGCAGGGAGGCGAGGGGCGCCAAGATGCAAAGATGGCCGCCGCGGCCCTCTCTCCCCCCCCCCCGCCCGCTCCCCCTACCCTTTTCCCTCCGTGAAACTCCTTTGTTTCGGGGGAACGACGGGGGTCGAGCCTTCGCATTCGGAACACGCGTCGGCGGTTAGTTCTGATTAGCGCTCGCCTCGAATGACGTACCACTGCCGCGCGCGAGAGGAGGCGCGCGCGTCCCGAATACGCAAACGGGGCGCAGCCTTTTTCCAACCCTCTCGAGGCGGCCCCCTCCGACATCCCCGGAGGACGTGCCTCCCCACCGGGATTTATTCCGGATCGACAGCCCCCCCGGCGGAAGGCTTCCTACCGGCCGGGACTTGGGAGAAGAGCCCCAGGTGCCTGGGGGGAGAGGTTAGGACTTCTGCGGGACGGCCAACATGCAGGGGGTGGGTTGGCACCCCCAGGAGCGAGGGTTCCACTTTTTCGGGGCGACTTCTACGGTCAATTTGGCGGCCCCCCGCGGGGAGGGGCGGGGGGGGGAAATGAGATCATATCGTGAGGAGGGTGGAGGCGGAGGGCCTTTTATCCTCCTAAATCACGCGGCTGGGGATGGAAGATGGCCGACCTGGAGTGAACTCCTCGACGGCGAGGACTTATCGGCCGGGGCCATCTATAGACCGACGGAAGGGCCCCTCGCACCCCCAAGACCCCGCGATATGTGCTGGGTCCGAGCTTCTTGAAGGTGCCACCCCTTGTTGCGGGGGCGCTAGGGTTCAAGCTAAGGAGCCGATTTCCCGCCGACCACCCCTTGGGTTACATCCTGAGAATGGTCGGTGGAAATTGACGTACGTCTTTTACATGTCTCGGTACTGAAGGTTCATGTAGGATAACGTTA